ATATGTGATAGTTTATGTACAGTTAATTCCACTGTTTTAGCTGCAATAAAATCGATTTTGAAATAAAGGAAATGTTGAATTTAAAAAGAAAGAAAAGAAAGCAGAGGGGCTGTGGATTCTGTTTCCTGCCCCTCAGCTGGAGCTTGGGCTTGTGATCCAGGCGTGACTGTAGGACTGCAGTCCCTTCTGAAGGCTCTGCCAAGGAGGCCGTGCTTCTAAACTCACTCACGTTGTTGGTAAGGTTCGGTTCCTTGGGGGCTGTTGGCCTGAGGGCCTCATTTCCTTGCCAGCTGTTGGCTGGAGGAGCCCTCAGATCCTTGCCACTTGGGCCGCCCTACCATGGAAGCTTTCCTCATCCAAGCCAGTTTGAGGGAGAATCTGCTAAGTCAAAACCTTCATAGCCTAATCACAGAACTAACATTCTCTCAACATTGCTATGTTCTTTGGGTTAGGTGCAAGTTACTGACAGGGAGGGGATTACACAAGGCTGTGAACACCAGGAGGTGGGGACCCTTGGGGCCATCTTGGAGGCTGCACACCAAAGGCCTATCCTGCAGACCTTTCCTGAGATTTCTAGGCTACTCAATATCTCTTTTTTTTTCTTCCCTATTTTGAGACAGAGTCTCACTCTGCCACCCTGGGTACAGTGCCATGGTCTCATAGCTCCTAGCAACCCCAATTTCTTGCTCAAGCAGTCATCCCAAGCAGCTGGAACTATAGGTACCTGCCACGACACCTGCTGGGTTTTCCTTTTTTTTTTTTAAATTTGAGACAGTGTCTCAAATTCTGTCGCCCAGGGTAAAGTGCCAGTGGCATCATAGTTCATAGCAACCTTAAACTCTTGGGCTTGAGCAATCCTCTTGCCTCCCAAGTGGCTTGGACTACAGGCGTGCACCACTATACCTGGCCTAGTTTTTCTGTTTTAATAGAGATAAGGTCTTACTCTTGCTCAGGCTGGACTCGAACTCCTGAGCTGAAGCAATCCACCTACCTTGGCCTCCCAGAGTGCTAAGATTACAGGCGTGCGCCATCATGCCTGACCTCAATATCTTTTTAAAAACATCTGCTCTTTGCTTGAGCTAAACAGAATCGATAACTCTTGTTTGCAGTCAGATCACTACACGTATTTGTTGCTTACCTACTGTTCTGTCATCTCGTGATTTTGGTATTTTTAAAAACAATTTAAAAAATGGATGCACAATAGGTGTACATAATCCTAGGATACATTCATGTAATTTGTAAAAATCAACCCAACGTACTTGGGATATCTATCGCCTTGAATACTTAAGGTTTCTGCTGATTTACAACCTTTCCCTGTGAGGTACAAGCTACCTGGTGAACTTACTGACATGGCTCATTATTCCTCTCTCCTCTCAAAGTTATCAGTTCTGTGTCTGAATATTTTATTATCTCAGAGTCAGTTAGTCAGCATCCCTCAGAAAACTCGTTTGAATATTAATCTCTATAATAAGCGTAGAAAAGAGATTAAGAACAGAGAATTAGCTCTGTCAAAATATGAAAACTGACTCCTATTAATGGGACAGCCCATACATTCTCACATCTCGGAAGGCGCCTGTGGCTCAAGGAGTAGGGTGCTGGCCCCATATATGAGAGGTGGCAGGTTCAAACCTAGCCCCGGTCCAAAAAAAAAATCTCACATCTTGCCCAGGATTTTTGAGGCTTATCCTCATTTGAGGCATCAGAAATCCAGTGCAAGGTAGTTTAAGCAAGAAAAGGGAGTTGGTCTGCTCCACTACCTGGGAGAAATACTGAGGAGAATGAATGCCAGAGTTCCAGGGCCTGCCGGAAGTGGCGCAGGGCAGGCAGCTCCGCTCTGGCTCCCACTGACATCGCCGTCATCTCTGCATCTTACCTTCTTGGCTTCATTCGTCGCCACAATCAGGCCTTCTCAGCTTGCTGGTGTGTGATCTTTGGTAAGGACCACCTCATGCTTTGAGATAGAAGAGTTTGAGACGGGTTGGCTTAGGTGTTTATTCCCATGGCTGGGAAGATGGGGTACTTTGCTGGGCCAGGCTTGAGTCACACGGCTACCTTCCTGTTTCTGGAAGTAGGAAAACCAACAGACACCACTGCTCAGCCCAGGTTCTGACCGAAGCCTGGGGCCCTGCCAGACCAACATGCAAGTGACCCCTAAAATATTGCAGATTATCTGAAGGACAAGGCTGTTGCCTAGTCCTGACTAGGAAATGTGGGTTAGACTGCTCCTATTGGCCAGTGTTTTTCGTGGAGTCTTGGAATTAATTTTATTGCTCCCAAAGTCCAGTGTTGTGGTCTACTGGCAACACAGCATCAGATTGGATTTTTCCACTTTAGATTTTATTTGTTCCCTAACTACTTGGCAGTGAAAAAAAATATTAGTAGAGACAAGAAGGCCACAGATGACATGGAAAATAACTGTCCATTTCATGGACTCATGACCAAGGTTAAATTACAATAACAAAGGAGGCCAGAGCTTTTTATTTATTGCTACTTTCTATGATTTGCCGGCAGACTGTTGTTATTTTGTTGTGTTTTTTGTTCTTTTAACATTTCAAGTAAGGAAAGAATTGTCAAGTTTATAAAAACCATGTGTATTAGGGACTCATTAATCTTAAGGCTAAGGGTAAATCTTGTTTTTAGAACCATATAAATATAGATTGAGGTCAAGATGAGTCAAACACTTAACTTTTGGAGGATGTAATATTGTGCTCCTTTCCATGTGTATGTCTATTAGCCCTGAAGTTGCCCTGGTAACTCCCCCAGAGACACTGTGGTGGGCTCCCCAGTTCTCTCCTGCCTTGGAACCATTCCCAGCAGCTACAGGGATCTTCTCACGCTGCCTGCTAGTTCTTTGGCAGTTCTTTAGGGAGGGCTCTGGATGAATCTGGAGGTGAGGAAGTGATTTTTAGCTCACAACCATCAGAGTAAAATCCTTGAGTCTTCTGACTTCAGTTTGAATAATCTTTCCACCATGACCTGTGGGATATGTTTTATAAAATCATGGCTTTAGAGTCAGGCTGAACCGCACTGGATTTATCATTTTGTAGCCACAGGAACTAGCAAGTTCTTGGACTTCACTAAGCCTTGTTTCCTCTTCTGTAAAATGGGGGTGCACATAACATCTAGCTCATATATGTGCTAAGTGCTGGAAGCAATTGTGTAGAGCCAGCCTTCCTATAATCTCATGTTGAGCTCTTCCCCCAAGTAAAAAAACAGCTAAATTTCAAATTTAGACTTGAGATCCAATCCTGAGGATCATGGTGGGTGCACAGAAGTAGATATAAAACTTATTCAGCATCTCCCCAAGGAAGAGGTGTACAGTGATCAGAAACTCAGTTCTTGGTTCAGACAGACTCAGGTTTGACTCTTAGCAAAGACCCTTCCTAGCTTGGTGACACTGGAACATTTTAGTTAACTTCTTTAAATCTTTGTTTTCTTATCTGTAAAATGGGGCTATTAACAACATAACCCCCACAGGAATTTGATATGTTTAATAAAATAATTCAAGTAAAATATTTAGCATTATATTTTAAACCACTAGAGCAGTTGTAGTAATCTCAAGAATAGTCCTTTTTAGGTCCCCATGTGTCTCCTCTCCACCACGCGCTGGTAACCTCCCCTAAACCTCCAGGCAAAGAGCAAATACCTCTGCCACATCGAGCGGGAGGGGACCTCTGGGCAGAGGCTTGGGGACCACTCTGACTAGGGTTTTTATGTGGCAAACCTCTTAGAGATTGTTTCTCAACTGTGAAATGAGAACAATAATTCTTGTTGTGAAGATTAGGGGTAATATATTGAAGTGGATGTCAGCCTTTGGAGTTTGGCTTTACAAAGTTCCCCACCTAGACATCTTTACATCTCAGGTCATGGTGCTGATGTAAGTGAGGATCTCCAGAAGGTAAATCTCAGCTGATCCTGCCGTCAGGTTTATCCTTACTCTTGCTGGCCCTTAGCCAGACTTCCAAGCTCTTCTGCCTGCCGAATTTCCTTCAAACCAAGGTCTATGGGGCTATGATAATGGGCGCTGCCACTTCAAAACATGCTTTTTCTTTTCTTTTTTTAAAGACAGAGTTTCACTCTGTCACCCTGGGTAGAGTGCCATAGCATCACAGCTCACAGGCCTCAGCCTCCTGAGTAGCTGGGAGTACAGGCACCTGCCACTATGCATGGCTATTTTTAGGGACAGGGTCTCTGTCTTGCTCAGGCTGGTCTCAAACTCCTGAGCTCAGGCAGTCCACCCACCTCAGCCTCCCAGAGGCTAGGATTACAGGTGTGAGCCACTGCACCCAGCCCCCTAGAAGCATTCGCTTCACATGACACCGGGCATGGGTGCTAATGTCAATTAAGAGGCATTATAGGGATCAATCTCAGCTCCACCGAGAGTGGACACGTGCGACTGTCCACTCATACTGACATGGTTGTGACTTTGCATCAAGACTGGCAAGGAACATTAGCAAACAAAAGATTTGTTTGGTGTAGGAAAAAGGTCAAAAGTCAAAATTTCAGCTCAGCGCCTGTAGGTCGAGCAGCTAGGGCACCAGCCACATATATCGGAGGTGGCAGGTTCGAGCCCAGCCTGGGCCTGCCAAACAGCAATGACAACTACAGCCAAAAAACAGCTGGGTGTTGTGGCAGGTGCCTATAGTCCCAGGCTGAGATAGGAGAATTGCTTAACCCCAAAAGAGTTTGAGGTTGCTGTGGGCTATGATGCCATGGCACTCTACGGAGGGCAACATAGTGAGACTCTGTCTCAAAAAAAAAAAAAAAAAAAAAGAATAAAGGTCAAAGTTTCCTGCAGAAAGTTCTCTGGACTTCTGCCTGGTACTGGAAAGCTGTAAATTGATAGGAAGGCTGCGTCCTTGCAAGTTATCAATTCCTCATGCTGCAGCTCATTCCCTGACATCATTTCTCATGGGTCTCTATTTGGGAGAGAAAAGAGCCCGGGGGCACCCACAAGCTTAGTGACCACTGCTGACATCCTCCCCGCTTGTGTCTTGCAGCCTACTTCTGTTTCCTCCTGACCGCTCTGGGTGTGACAGCTGGTGCCCATCGCTTGTGGAGCCACAGGTCCTACAAGGCCAAGCTGCCTCTGAGGATATTTCTGGCTGCCGCCAACTCCATGGCTTTCCAGGTGGGGATGGAGGGTCGTCTCTGCCGTGGGGACTCAGTGCAGATGGTGCAGATGGCTGTGTGGAAGGAGGGGGAGGATGGACAGATACCCTTCCACCCCTGTCCTAGACTTAGCACTCAAGCCCTAAGCACTCTCAGTCTTAGACTAGGTTTCATCTCCTTGTAGTTTTCAGATAGAGTAAAATGTCCCCTGGGGATTTTGTGCCCCAAGCTATGCTGACCTACTGAGGGTGAAAGGAGTATCCTTTGTCCAGAGTCCACACTGTAAATGTACCCTGAAACCCTCAACAAGCCCTCTAACCTGCCCCCAAGATCCGTGATGAGCATGCTATGTGCATAACACATTTGATCCTCACTGTAACCCCGCAAGCTAGATGTTATGTGCACCCCCATTTTACAGAAGAGGAAAACAAGGCTTAGTGAGTCTAAGAACTTGCCCAGATCATATGGCTATAAAACGGTAAATCCAGTGCAGTTCAGCCTGACTCTAAAGCCATTTATTTTATAAAACATATGCCAGAAGTTGCCCTAACAGGTCATGGGGGAAAGATCATTCAGTCTGAAGTCGGAAGACTCAGGGATTTTACTCTGATGGTTGCTAGCTAAAAATCACTTCCTCACCTCCAGTATTATCATCTGTAAGAAAAATAAGAATGAAATAACAGCTTCATTCCCAGGGTTGTTAAGAAATCACTGAAAATTGTAGGAGTTATAAAAATATAACAGACAGACATCACCACACTGGGATTGAGCCATCTCCTTTAGGCCTATTCCAGTCCTACACCATCCCCCTGCACCCTGGGCACCTTCTGAGCTGTGGGAATTTGGCTGTGTCATGGATCTCTATTTTCCCAATTCCTCACCCAATCCAGGCAGCATAGGTGGGAACAATTTGCTTTTAAAATTTCTGCCCATATATGAGTACAGATGATTCCGGGCCCAGTCTGTTTTCACCTGTTGGGAAGGAATGGTGACTTTAACTGCTTTAAAGTCCCAAGAAGCAGGTGACCTGGCAGCCACCCTGTCACCCTCAAACACACAGCTTGTGCGGCCACCTTTGCAGTGGGTCTCCCAGCCCCACAAGACAGTTTTTCTCTGACTGATCTTGTAGCTGAGAATTTATTTCCCTGCTTTAGGCTTCTCTTACACAGCTTGAGCTTCATAAAGCAAAGAGAATATAGCACAATAGATCAGCAAGGGGCCACAATTGGTGGTAGGAGTGGATACTGCTTACGATTCAAGCAAACAGGGCTGGGGAATGTGCTCCCATGCACAGTGGTGTACTGGGCAGCTTCTCGGGTCCATGTTCTTCTGTTCACTGTTGGCAACGTAAACTAACTACACTTTATTTATTTATTCATTCATTCATTCACTCATTTATTTATTGAGACAGAGTCTCACTTTGTTGCCCCCTGAGTAGAGTGCCATGGCATCATAGCTCACAGCAAACTCAAACTCTCGGGCTTCAGTGATTCTCTTGCCTTAGCCTCCCAAATAGCTGGGACTACAGGCGCCCACCACAATGTCTGGCTATTTTTAGAGACAGGGTCTGGCTCTTGCTCAGGCTGGTCTTCAACTCATGAGCTCAGGTGATCTGCACGCCTGGGCCTCCCAGAGTGGTGGGATTACAGGCGTGAGCCACTGCACCCAGCCTCTACACTTTATTTTGACTTCAGCCATAATTCAGTGTTGTCTTTTATTTATCTTAACTTAGAAAATCATCACCTTAGGTCAGAGATGCCATTCAGGACCTAACTTGATAATTTTCATTTATTTTGTTCAAACAGCTTATTATTTTTAGCCTCAATGATACACATATAGGTATAAAACACCTCTATTACTGGAATTCTTTTCAAGATATATAACTTGTAACTGGGGAGCCTAAAACTCTGCTTTTTCTTTTCCCAGAGAAACTGATTATAACTCAATTTTCAAAAACATATGTTTCCTTAACAAAACATCACATAAGAGAATATAGGACTGTGATTTTAAATTTATCCTGGGGGAGAAAGTGCACTGTAAAGGGAAGTACCCAGATCCTGAAATAAATTCTCTGCTCTCCCATTTGTTTGATGTGAGCCTTGGTGTAAGTCTCAGTTCCTTTATCTGTGAAGGGGGGATAATATTTACCTCACGGAGTTGTTGGGATGATAAAATTATAAAGAAAAGCTGCTGAGCCCCTAGTAACACTTGGGAAATATCGCTCACCTTCTTCGCTTTTATGAAAATCAGCTTACTGTCCACTCATTCCTATACCCTAATGCTTATCAGATGAAAAATATTCAATGATTATTTGCTAAACAAATTCAAAATGAATAGCTTTATAAAATGTTTTTGGAAGTCATCACATTTGAACTACGTATACTTCCTCCAGGCCCACATTTGTGGTGGATTTCTTTTTCATTCATTCAACACATATTTGTTGAGCACCTACTATGTGGCAGGCACTGAGCGTACAGCAAAGTACAAAGAGTCAACAATCCTCACCCTCACGGAGTTTTCCATCTACTTGGATATTAGAATTCTCAGAGTTTCCCAGTGGAAATTTCAGTGCTTCGTGGGCCTGGGGTTTTATTGACAATGTCACTTGTGTGAAAGGTATCTTTGAGATCAGCATAGGGCCAGCCTCCTATAACGTGCATAGGGAAGGAAGATCGTTGATCTAGACCAATTAACTCAGGAAGAGAACAACTTGGGAAAGTGAAAAAATACACTGTGATCTGCCGGTGTGGAGTATTGACCCACAACCTTGACTTAATGCAGTCATTGATTTAGTGCCCCTTTGATGACTGCTGGGTTTTTAAAGATAGTTTCACAGCTTCTCCCCCTCCTTGTCTCCACCAGAGTGGTCATGTCTTTGGTCAAAATGGATAAGTCATGCCATGGTTATCTCTGTTTGAGTATTGGCAGGGTTTTTGCTAAATTCTGCAAACAAGATCCTTGATCATTAAGAAAAAAAATCTTTTCTTTTTTTGTTTGAGACAGAGTCTCACTCTGTTACCCTGGGTAGAGTGCAATGGTGTCATCATAGCTGACTGCAATTTTAAACTCCTGAGCTCAAGAGACCCTACTGTCTTAGCCTCCTAAGGAGCAGGAACTACAGGTTCATGCCATCACACCCTGCTAATGTTTTCTTTCTTTGGTAAAGACAGGGTCTCACACTTGATCAAACTGGTCTTGAACTCCTGATTTCTTGTGACCCTCCCTTCTCGCTGCCCCCACCTCAGAGTGTTAGGATTACAGGCGTGAGCCACCATACTTGTCCAAGAAAAATCTTAAAATTGGTACTTAATCATTTTAAACTTTCTTTTCTTTATTTTGTATGTGCGGGGCAGGGCAATAGTGGGAAAGGTGGAGGTACTTTTAGTCTAAAGAGATGATGGTGGTATAGGGATGCCTGGGAAAGGGCTATAAAATCCTGGGTCCCCTCTACACCCTCAGCAGTGACCCCTGAGGTCCTCTCTGGTCCATCCTCCTCCCTTACCAGCATGGTGAAAATGAATATAAAGACTGTTTGCAACTTCCTTAAAATATTCTCCTAGTCAAAGATGGACCCAGGTGAGGGATTCCTGCTATCCCGTGTTCTCCAAGAGTCACATTTCACAAGCAGTAGGGCTTTGGATTCGTACTCTCACCCTCATGCACTCACCCCTGCTGGTTCCAGCTGGTCTTTGGTGAACCCTGTCCAACTAAAAGCACTGGTTAGATGCTTCAGACTCCTGCCACAGGGCCCACATTTCCTCATCAGATCACAGTAACAAGGCATTGGATTTAGAGCTGGAAGGGAACTTAGGGATTTAGTCTAAATCTTCTTATTTTATAAAGGGGTAAACAGAGGTGCAGGGAATGCCAGTGGATCGTCAACCCCGACTGAATCCCAGTCTGCTGACCCTCAGACCAAGGCCCTGTGGCCTCACACATCACATGTTCTCCTGTGACGTCCTGCAGTGTGATTGGCGTATTTAGACTATTTACATTTAAAGTTGGATCAGTATCTACCCTGTTTCTAACTGCCTTGCCCTTGTTCTTATTTTTTTGTATTTTACTTTTCCCCTCTGCTTTTTGTGGTTTTAGTTGAACGTTCGTACGATTCTATTTTCTCTCCTCCTTGAGCATATTCATTACATTTCTTTTTAAAAACTTTTACTGGTTGGCCTAGAATTTACACTATGCAACATACACTTACAAGTAATCCACGTCCACTTTGTGACAGGAGTCCCACGGCCTCCCTCCTGCCCCTTACAACATTGCCGTCACTCATCTGATCTGTAAGCTGTAATCACTTTATAAAACATTGTTGCCATTATTATTTTGAACAACATTTTGTATGTAAGAAAAATAAAAGTTTCATTTTACATTATTCATATGCAGATCTGAGTTCTGGACTGAAAAAATATTCCTTCCCTCTAAAGAACTTCTTTTATCATTTCTTGTAAGGCTGCAAGGCAGGTCTACTGGTAACAAATTCCCTCAATTTTTGTTTAAGAATTCTTTACTTCTCTTTCACTTTTTTATTTTTTGAGACAGAGTCTCATTCTATCATCCTTGGTAGAGTGCCAGTGATGTCATAGCTAACAGCAACCTCAAATTCTTGGGCTCAAGCCATCCTCTTGCCCCAGCCTCCCAAGTAGCGGGGATACAGACACCAGCCACAATGTTCAGCTAGATTGTCTATTTTTGGTAGAGATGGGGTCTAGCTCTTGCTCAGGCTGGTCTCAACTTCCCGAGTTCAAGGGATCCTCTCACCTTGTCCTCCTAGAGTGCTAGGATTATAGGTGTGAGCCACCATGCCCAGCCTTCTTCACTTTTTTTTTTCGTGGTTTTTGGCTGGGGCTGAGTTTGAACCCACCACCTCCAGCATATGGGGCCTGCGCCCTACTCCTTGAGCCACAGGCACCACCCTCTCCTTAACTTTTGAAGAGTAATTTTACTGACCACAGAATTCTAGGTTGGTGGATTTTTTCTTTCAACACTTTAATATTTTATTCCACTCTCTTCTTG